GGTTGGGTCGGAGCAACTGAAGATCAAAATTCATGTGTGATAAACTGATTAATGAAAGTGTTGTGCAGAATTTGGATGTTTAAGCATTTTGGTTTTTAGCAGCCTTGAACGATCTTGAATGTTTTACTGTCAGGATTCTGAATCTGAATTTGTCACAATCTTCATTCTATAAGTCTTTGAAAATTTTCATACAATCTTTCGTTTGGAAAACTGGACAGTCAATGAGAAACATGTGTGTCAGTGACCTGGTCCATTGTTCTAAAGTTCACTCTTAATGGCCAAACCGAAAGCTGACACCAGGCCAGTACATAAAGGCACCACTGCACTTCTTCCCCCCCTTCCCCTTGGTTTTTTGTTCATTCGGGGTAGACTCATGGTGTCTGAGCTTGGCAGGTATCTGATGGCTGTGTGTGCATCTTGGTGCTGAGGAGAGAATTGATATAAGGCCAAATCCGGTCTGTCTCTGTACCGGAAAATGAGTGCAGGATTCCTTGTGACCTGAGTGAAGAAATAGGAGAACTAATGAGAGGAAAAGCGGGTTGTGGGTACAGTTCTTACATTATCTGGAGGCTGTACCACAAAATGGACAATTTAGAACAGATGCATCAAGTGTATTGACTTTTCTATTAGCTTACTTCCTACACTCCCCACATTTCAACTGAACTGACAATAATTTGAGAGTTGGGCGTGTCATGCTAACTGTGACTAATGCAAACTTGACAATGCAGAGATGAAGTAGGGTAATAAGAAGTCACTTATTTCAAGCTCTGTGACCAAACATTCACACACATGCAACTGTAATCTCCAAAAGTTGATTCTGTTCATCTGGACGTAGCGTTTTTAGTGGGAGAAGCGTTTCAAGATGTCCAGATGAACAGAATCAACTTTTGGAGATTTACATACCTGGATGATTGAGCATGCATTAAGACATACATGTAATGTTCAAACCCAAGCTGTATTACTTGTATTAAATTATCATACTTTATATTTCCTCTAGAAGCTATTTAAATATGACTATGATTAAACAAATGTCAAAAATAACAAAATATAAAGTAAGATCAAATGAAGTGCAAGTATTTACTGACTTGTACAAATCAATTACGGGTTTTGCCACATCTTTGTAATGTCTCAGTCTGGCCATCAGAGCCTCCGGCTTGTCGTCATCGTGCTGAATCAGTGGCTCTCCTGTGATGTCATCCTTACCCTGAGGAAGGCAATGCAAGGTTACAACAACGCAGCAAAGGCAAACACAACACAAATCAGTGAAATGACATTTGCAAATGGGATTGAAGCACAGTACAATACACTAATTAGCAAACAACAGTGCATTTGCCTCGGCATGCTGCATTACGTCCACAATATGCAGTCAACATGATACCCATATATTGATCTTAAGGAGCTTACTTTCAGGAATATTATAGTCGACATAAGATAAAAGTATGGCAATCTGATTCCATTGTAATTAGTTCATGCTTACATGCAGTTGTTTTAAGAACATTTTAACCATAAGAAATACTCCGTAAAAACAACAATATCATATTTGTGAATCGCTAATGTGCACTGGAGTCTTCATATCTTCACGTCACACCACTATGAGTCACACAATGTTAAATATTGCATATTTAAGATAATGATAAGTCAGTTATATATAAGATAAGATAGTTGTAATTATGTGCTAACTGGGACTTTGGAAACTTAAAAAAAAACTAAAGAAAACTAATCACAAAGCTGTGGTGGTGGTGCGGGAGTGTGGCAACAATCCTCCCCCTAATCTGGTTTCAGCCTTTCATTTTGGCAGGTTTCCACCCTGTAGAAGAAAGGCACTAAATCCCTAACAGCTTAAAAAAAGCCCACAATGACACAAAACCCGTCGGGAAGAAACATCCACACAAAAAATAAAAACCTAAATTCCAAACTATTTCAAACTTTGTGGCTATGCTGCCACTTCCAGGCTGCTGACACCTGCACTCGGGGAGGGTTGAAGCCCATGTTGTAGACTCTGCCGCTGGCTGGATGGATCCAGCGGTCGCTCAGTCTCTCCTTGAGAGTCTCATAGGGGATGTTTAGGCTGATAACCAAGTCTAGCTGATACAAATTGTTGAGGGCCAAAGCCTGTCCGAGTGTGCGGGGGAAACCTAGGCACAGTCAGGGAGAGGGAAGGGAAAACATGAGTCATCGAGTGGTCAACCAGGAAAAACCAATGTTACACACTGAGTTAGCTAAAAGACTAAAAAGTGAATGTGCACTTTTGAAGGTATGATCACAGCTCAGTCAATAGCATGAGTAAGAAACAGTGTACACGTGAAATATTCTGTTTTACAGTTTCAGATGCTGTTATTTCCTCTTGCTAATATCACCAGCTGGCAGAAGGTGTTTACAGTTTTCCTGTGGAATGGCTTGCAGTCATGATATTATATCAGGATTTTGCACTTGTGAATGAATGGGGTGAAAAACCCCCGAAGCTTTCAGTTACACGGCTTTTATCAAGCACCAGCAGAAATGACAAGCCAGCGCCTTTCATTCATGCTGCCAATGCCTGTGTCTAACTGCTGCACCTCCAATCACTATGCTTTCAAACTTCTGATGTTTGCAGACAACATGACCCTTATTGGGGCCATCTCAGGTGGGGATGAGTCTGCCTACAGGGGGGAACTGACAGTCTGACAGCCTGATGTAGAGACAACAACCTGGAACTAAACGGTGTCAAAGCAGTGGAGACAACTGCGGGCTTCAGGAGGGGCTCAGCCCCTATTTTATGCCATGTTTTTGTTATGACACTTGCACATTAAAAATTTGTTTTGGGTGCTTTGATTTTTATCTGGAGACTTCTTCCTTTCTCTTTTTTTACTCAGAAACCACCAGCCAAGAAACCTACGGAACACAAGGAATCGATACAAAGTTTTTCAAGGACGTACGATGGCAGAAGTCAAATCTACAAATGGATTCTGTATTTCTAGTTCTGTTGGCTATGACAATGCACTTTTTTTTTACAGTTGACCTTAAATGTTACATTACACAGTGTCCCTGGTTTGTACCTTTCCTCTGTGTCCAAGAACTGACAGTTCTCGAACACTCCTGTTCTTTTGTTTGGTTAATAATGCACCGTTACAACTCTAACCACCAGGGTTAGAGCTGCCATGCCAGAGCCCACAAATGAATCACAGAAAAGCACTAAATCAAAGATTGCAACACAGAAAGAGACACAAAATACTGAAGACATGCCAAAGACTGGGAGTCTATAGTGCATGTATGTAGCTAGGTAAATGAAAGCATGACATGAACTTTGAATGGTAAAAACCAAATATCCAGTTGGCACCAGCAACACAGACTATCAAAGGCATGATAGAGGCATGATCGAGGAAATGCAGGCGTGTGTGTGTGTGTGTGTGTGTGTGTGTGTGTGTGTGTGTGTGTGTGTGTGTGTGTGTGTGTGTGTGTGTGTGTGTGTGTAACCTTGATTTGCTTTCCCTCTTGCTCAATTATTTGTTTAGTGATCATGCTTCAAGGTTTGAATTGGTTTAACACCCACTAGCTTGTTTCGTCAATGTTTTGCATTTCTCTTGATGGCAGTGGCTAATATTCAACCTTGAAAAAGACACGGTAACCTGCAAAGTCAGCGCTTTATTCATGTAACAAGTTCTTCCAAAAGTATGAATATCCTGTATAAAGACTGCTATTAATGACTGACTGATGAAAAGTATGTGATTATTAGCATATGATTAGAATATCATAAAAAAGTGATATTTTTTTTTGGGGGGGGGGGGGTGAAAGGTAATGGAACAATGCTATTGCCTGTAAAGGGGAAAGTGTTTTTTACATTTTATTTTACCAGTGAAGCAGGGTACACACACTTGCAAAATCAGTACCTTAAAAGTCTGTGAAGGTTCTTAGTCATCCAGGTCATCAGACCATAAAACTTTATTACTCACACATGTAGAATAGTGAGGAGAGTATTTTTTAATCCCCTCAGATTTAAATAAAGCCAAAGCATATGACTCTTTGTGGTTAATTTTTGAAAATGCAGAAGTGTGTCTTTGCTTTCTTTCTTCTTTTTTCTCTCTCTAGCTTTCAGTGTCAGGATTTGAGGGGTGGCACCAAGTGGTGGCCAATCAGATTTGAAAGATAGCTGGCAGTTCCTAACACTGCCATGAGGCTGCATCATGAAAACATCCCTCCCAACCTCACTACAAACAATAAAGACAGAGTAGTGGGGCAGGGTGCTATATGTAAGTGTTAATGAAAAAGTAAAGCAAAGAAAAGAAAGAAGCATTCACTGTAACAAAAAACAACCCAGTTCTTCTTACCATCCAGCAGCCAGCTGTGACCGCTCAGCTGTTCCAGTCTGGGCAGCATCAATCTGGTCATCACATGGTCAGGCACCAGCATGCTTCTCTCTACATAGGTCTTCACCAGCAAGCCTGCCTCTGATACACAACAGACAGGTGAAAACAGACAACGTGTGTCTGTTTGTGATTCCAGATTCTGAAGTTCTTAAACAAAACAGGACAGGGCTTGTTGTGTCAGTGTGGAGGTTTATTTATTTATTTATTTTCCTGAAACATGGCAGCAAGGTTTTCTTAAGGCACATGTGTTTTTACTTAAGCCCTCCATAGTGAACTAAACCTTATTGTCAGTGTGAGCTTGGCACATGCTGGGAATTAAACTGACTGTGCTTTTGTAGCCACAATGAGGAAGTGCAGAGAGACACATGCACGCAAAAACCAAAAAAAAAGAAAGAAAGACAGAAAGAAAGAAACGGTTTTAGGCTGTTTGGAGAAACTGCTGGAGTTAGTGCTCTGGGTGAATTTGACTGAAATCAGATACAGTCGATAGTAACAATAAATGTCTTGCGCGGTGCAGTTTGGATAGAGGGCTAAAAGTTTACAGTGAAACAACTGTGGACACAAACAAATGCGCACAACTTCCTCCTGCAACCTTAGCAGGATTGGTATTTTTGCTATTTTTGCATTCGCGGGAGAAGGGGGATCGTGAATTTAAGATATGCAGCGAAGAAAATTAAGAGTTGCATCAACTTTTCCCTCTGCGCGCGGTTTCTTCCTGTTTACACCACAGTATTGCCGTCTGGGTTGCTTTGCATATCCTACCTGTTTTTGCCGCTATGCCCTCTCGTAGAAAATGACCACTGGACAGATACTGCAGGCCAAAACTTTGCGCAATCCTCTGGGATATCGTTCCTTTCCCTGATCCCGGTGGACCCATGATAGCAGCTCGGAATAACTTGGCCATATCTTAAAAGCTACTGTGAAAACAAAAACTCTAAGATGCTCAGATGTCACTTCTGCAGGTTGTGCGTCAGAGACAGAGATAGGCTCACCTTTTAATTAAATTCCTCATCAGTTGCAAGCATGAGCAATCAAATAGATCTAAGTTTAGGGCGGTTTAAAAAAAAAAAAACTCTGCCAATGTAAATTTCAGCCTATCTCTGGAGACTGTGGATCTTTACGCAGACAGAGCCCACTTTCTGCGCACAGTGGGACTATCCTGCTCTCAGACTCGGATCAAGTCGAAACACCCTTTTTTCTTCAGGCTCTCTTATGGATACGTTACGCTACGCCTTCGTCTTTAAGACTAGCGATTTGTCTGCAAATGAATGAGGGAGTCTCCAGAACGCCCTATTTTACTGCGCACATTCATCCAGAAAAAATGCGGATGGGAGAACGTCGCAGGGTAAACTGGTTACTGTAGTTTTCTTTAAATATACAGCCCACAAACATATGTAGACTAATGGGTCACTCTAAGACAGAGAGGGGAAAGTTTACATTAATTTTATTATTATATTTAACAACGGCATAGAAAAGAAATACTGCTGTTCTATCCCTCTATCTGCCAATCTATCATAGCCACGTGTTAAAATAATAATATTTACCTCACTAGGCGGTACAAATACATCAAAATAAAATTCAAAAAAAAACAAGGAAAAAAGGAAAAGGATTATTTAAAAAATAAAATAATTATTGTCGGTCTTAAAAAAAACAAATAAATAAAAAGTGGGTTTATTTGTATTACACAGTTAATTGCTTCGCAGTGGGAAGGTCACTTTAAACCAATGGTGAGAGTTCTGCTTTAAAATCGTGCTCGTTACCCCGCTAATCATTAAAAGTAGTTGGTTATGCTTGGATTTCACCACTTGTTGACAGCATTTTCAGCCGATCGGAGCCTTTACAACGCCGCTTAATTTCTCACGCTTTCGCACTGCTGGCATGAGGCGCAGAAACAAGCAAACGAGACGCCGTCATTCCGCGAAACATTTGCGCACGGGTGGAATCTAGGGAGTACTTGTTGCGAGCCATACGGCGGAGGCAGCGTCCCGGAGCTGTCAAATACTGCGCACAACCTTGAGTCTTCAGTGGAATAACCAGACTAATCCATCAGACCAGCAGCTCAGAAGATTAACCTTTTTTTTCCTTCCTTTTAATTTTATTCTATTTTATTATTTTTAATTTTTTAGCTTCGGAAAAGTAGTTTTTGTCCGCGAAACCGGAAACCTGATTTTAAAATCACGATCTTTTTTTCTCTCGCTTTTTTTTGTCACATGGCTTTGGAGAATTCAATAACAACAAAAAATGGCGACAATCACGTTGCTCTGTGTGGTCTTGCTGCGTCATTAAAAATATTCATGTAAACACGGGGCGTTAAACAGGGGGATTGCAGGTAAGCGAGCTCGTTGTTCGTCACACGTTAAATGCGAGTTGGATGCAATTAAAAAGAAATGATTATATTTAGATTCCACAGCATGCTGATTGTTTTTGCCCAGAAAAGGGGTGTGTGTGCAACGCTGGGCGTTAACGTTTGGCTGCACAATATTCACTGCGAACGTTGCACTTATGTGTAAATATATATATGTGTGTTTTTGCATCAAGTCGCTTTTTCACGTGCATATTTACGCTAGTGAAAACAAGCGTGCATGTTTGCGTGACCTGACGTAAATAACAGTGTTGTTTCTCTTTGGCCAACTTTTAATTTTTTTCTTCTTTGAGGGGAGAAGGCAACGACAAGCTTCGACAGTGTTTATTCCTCTTTAGTTCGCTTTACTGTCTTTACTCCTGGCCTCCCTGCTGCCTTCACTGTTAGTGGGTTATAAGCCATTCCTCGACTATTTACATTAAGGGTTTACGCAATATGGACGCGCTTTCATCACAGGGACTGTTTTTATAGTCACTACCAACAGCAGACGTCGCTCCGAGCCTGACACCGCTGCTCTGTCTAGTTGTTACACATGTTGCTTTGCTGTCCACGTCTGACACGGCCATTTTTATTTATTTTGTATTTATCTATTTATTTTTGGCTATAGTGCCCCTGTGCAGTGGGGCTAATGGAGTTGTTTACATGAAGTACGGAGGGCGGGCAGACGACGAGGAGGAGGAGCAGCTACGGCCAGCGACGCGACCGGACTGCTCGAGAGGCTTCTCGCGCCGCGCGCGCGGGGGAGGGAGGGGGAAGGGGAGGAACCCGCGAGGAGAATCATAACAAGTCTGACATCACTCGGCCTTGTGCTGGTACGAATAGCCTATGTACAGTAGGCAGTTTGTGTCGAAGAAGTCATGGCGGGAAGGCGGTGAGGGAGTGCAGTGTTGTTGTTTCAAGATGGGAAACGTTAGCTAGCCTTTGTGTGTGGCAAATGGAAACAAAGATGAAAAACCCGAGTGGTTTTGTTTTGTTTTTTTATGTGGAACAAGGACTACGACTAACTGAGCGGATCAAACCGCATGCGCAGTCTTGTGCATGATTAATTGCCCCCGCCCCCTTTTCAAGGCAGGTAAAACCCCTGTGAAAAAAATCGTCTTTCCTTCTGAAAACCGCTTTTCACAGCTTTCCACCGAGGCACCCGTGACTCTCACTGTGCAGCTCTCATACCTGAGCAAGGAAAAAAGGGTGTAGAAACATTATTAGGATATAGCTTAATGCATAGCAGAGTCTGCCTTTTAAAAGCATCGATAAGTGAGGGGCATTAGTTTGATTGTGCAGGTGGTAAAAAACAAAAAAGCCTGAATAAACTGACACACTACTGTAGCATCATCTGGCTCTCAGACGGATTTCATACAGAAGACGCCTGGATGAGGAGGATCCTGTGACTGTAACTGTCTGCAACTTTACACATGGTCCAGATATTTGTTTCTCTTAAACATATAGGTTGTTTTGTTTGCTTTTTCCCCCCTCCCTCTGTCTGACTTTATTATTTTACCAGTTTTCTCATGTTTAGAGAGCTGAAGACCTTTGGTGTAAAGGACACTTTATAAATATCACATGTTGCGTTACATGGTTGTTAGTGTGTAAATGAAAGGTTATTTCAAATGATTCATTTGTAAGCAAAAGAAATTTGTAAAACTTGCTTTGCATGAGGAGAAAACGAGCTGCAAAAAATGCAAATGGAATGTTATCTTTGCACCTGCTGACCTACAGCAAGGATTTTATTGGTGGATGACAAAGTGGAGTGAAGTCTTGGACTGCTAGATTTGACAGGCTGCCCTGGTTCAGTTATCACAGTGCTGATGCTGTCCCCATCGAAGGTACAGTACTGTGATAACTGAAGGATGGCTGCCAACTTGACACTAGTGCAGTGGTCAAAGTGGCACATTCGGCTAACGAGGCAGAAGAACCAAAGAGAAGGTGGACAAGTGTGGGTATGTAAACGGCATTTGTTGTGATATGCTGAGTAATAAAGTTTGTAAAGGATGTCCAAGTGTCTGTGTGTGTTTTCATTTCCAAAATAACATCCACAGGTTGAATCTAACAGCACATTTGTAACAGTGTTCAGCACTTCAGCAAAAAGCCACAGAGCCAAAATCTGTAGTTTAGGATCGTCCTCGCTGAGTTATTTTCCCCAGCAGTACAATATTTATAATCTATCTCAACTTTTCAAAGGTCAGTAAATATTTCATCTTTATATCTAACAACACAAAAGCAGTTGAGTTCAGATGGATGATTTGGGTTCTTTATAGGTTTTTTATCTCTTGCGTGAGAGCCGACTGAACATTATTATCAAATATTGAAAAGCACGTTAGATAAGAATGCAAGCATCGTTGACCCAAACCAACTTCATTTGTATTTTGTTTAGTTCTTTTATTTGTTAACAATTTGTGGCCCTTGTTCGTCATTGGCAGAATCAGCTCTGTTTTTTCTCATTGTTCTTCTGGGACAAAAGTAAACGTAATCTTTACTTTTGAAGAAAAGAAAAATTTACAAAAATCAGAGGGCAGAACCATCCCAGGCGTGACGCAGTGAATTCCTTAGAAGCAAACAGACGCATTGTACTTACTTAACACACCCAACACAAATGAATCCTGCAGTTTAGCCTTCTACTGGAATTCATAAGCACAAACTCAGTTTATGGAGGTTCTCCTAACTATGACCATAAAGGTCTAATAAGCATTTAAAACACTGGAAGCATGAATGCCTCATATTCACCACCTTAAATATGAACGAGCTTTGCATTGCTCGATCATTTGAGAGTGATTAAAAATAACTGCTCAAGTAGAAGAAGCTGTATTTGGTCCCGATCTGGAAACGCTGGTGGCAACTAGTTTCACATTGCTGCCAACAGGGGTCGCTACAGATCCATTATTAGTAGTCGTATTACTAGTATTATTATAGCGCTTTGTGGTGTGGTTGAAGCAGAAGCACACAAATGTTTCTGTGTTGTGTAATCCGTTTGTGAACCCTTATAAAGTAAAGAACTGCTGCTGAATTCCTCTGGACTAAAGCCGGGTTCACTTCTAGTGACTCATGGAAGACGTGAAATGACATGAAAGTGTGGAGTTTTGTTGTTGTTTTGTTTTTGCTCAGTCATCCAGTTTTGCTAATAGAAGGAGACTACTCCTTCCTTCCATTATACTGCGTGAATAACAACACAACGGCTTTGAGCGAGCATCCATTTTAGTACGAACTACCGAGTTGTTGTTTTGGTGACTCAGTTTGCGCACAGTTGCGCTGTAATCTGCGATCTATCGATGCCAGTTCGCTCCAAAAAACGAATCGCACTTCTTTTTTTTCGGAACGTACTATTTTGAATAATGCAAGCACTGTTTGAGTCATGTCTGATAAACCGCGGGGTCACTCTGCACCTGTCCTTCGTATGTAAAGGGTACATGCTGCCGCTGAAGCTGCGGAAAGCCCCTGAAGAGTCATGATACTTATTTTGTTTTTCTCTCACGTTAACCTCAATCTGCTAAATCCCGCCTCGAGTCGCGTGTTTTTCTCACTCGGAGCTATACGTGCTGCATTGTGGCAAGGCTGTGTTTTGATAACAAAATACGCAACAACAAAAAAAACCAAAACAAAAAAAACATTTAAAGTCGCTTTCGAGACGAGGACAGCGTCTTCCTATGACCCTCCACCATGAGGGAATTTCTCCTCATACTTCCTTTAATGTGTGGCAGTAATTGCGCTTGCTTGGATGTGCCGAGGGAATTCCCTCCCCTTCATATGAGCCACATACTTTAAAAAAGACGTCTTTCAGGAGCTTTCCTTTCTCCCTTTGTTGTTGCAGGAAGAAATGCTTTTCTTCTTCTTCTTCCTTCTTTTTATCAACTCTGATCCCCATCTCAGACAGTGTTGCATCAGTAGTTCAGGTAACTCACAGCTGATAACTGCTGCTGTGAAGCCAACTCTCACAGTTTCAT